CCCTAGTTAATGAACAACATAACCTGAGCAAGCCTATCCTTTTGGCAACTGCCTTTGACTCTATCAATAACACTTTCATGGAGGTCTGGGACCCCTCAGCGAAGGTTCAATGATCTCTCGGTTCAATGGTGATCAATGATTCAATGACGACTCAATGCTCTCTCTCTCTCTCTCTCTCTCTCTCTCTCTCTCTCTCTCTCTCTCTCTCACACACACACACACACACACACACACACACACACACAGAGCGTGCTCTCTCTGCACCAGGGAATTCTCCAATCCCGTCTCCTACCCTGCCTCCTACCCTTTCCCGTTACAAGCTTTTCCAACACTGTTGTCTTCACCCTCCTGCTCACTGCCTTTCATGTCCTTGGAATCTTTGAAATCCATTCTCCTTGCGTCACTTATCTTGTTATCCCAATGGACGACTGTACCGCCCAGACCTGCGTTCTCATCTTCCCTTTTCTCCCCAGTCTTCTGGTTCCAACGATTCAGATCAGCGTTATCCTCATTCTCATCATCCTCATCATCACCATGATCACTATCACCATTTTGAGGTGATTGCCCCGATTGCAAGGATTCATTATCACCATCATTGTCTCCATCCCCACTCTTCTGATTCCAGTGAGTCACATCACCGTTATTGTCCTCCTCATCACTACTTTCAGCATCATCATCATTACCATCATTATCACCCCCTGAACTGTGAATAACATTCCGTCTATTCCTCAGATGGACATCATTCGCTCTCAATATCTCATCATCACCATTTTGCAGCCTATGGCACTGCCCTAACTGGGCCTAACACACAGACCTATCTTAGTTCCCACCCACAGTTCAAGCACTGCACGTTCAACTCCATCGGAATCCCACCGCCGTTTCTTCGGAGTATCCTTAATCTGCAGTATCGTTCCGGACGACTGTTTCTCACTGTCGCTGACTCTCCCGTTCGTTCTTGAAGCCGCCGCTTCTAGGTTCAATGCAGGAGGCTCCCAGCCTCGGTCTTGAAATCGAGTAGATGAGAGGGGCGGGGGTGATTAAGCCCTTCAGGGGGCAACTTCTGAAAGTACCGGGCCAGGAAGGGCAGCTCCCTAAAGTACCGGGCCAAGGAGAGTGTGTGAGGGGGTTGTGGTAAGCCTGACAGAATAGATAACGGCTCGGAGAGAAATGGGAGGGTGTGAAAGATAAAAAAGGAAGAAAGGACCAGGGTTGGGGATGGCCCGCCCTTGCATAACCACCTATTCAACACTTAGGTTTTCCACACAGCGATTTTTGCGGAAGGCTCGGAGTTGCACCCCTCTAGACATAGCCCGAGGGCGCTACTGAATGGGAGAACTCTGTGTGAGAAAGTAAAGATTCATCCAGAACGGAAAGGCTCCAAACAAGGGCATGATAATAAAACATGAAATGAAAGATGAATCTAGGTGTATCAATCTTAATCTACCCTAATATTCGAGGAGATCAACCACTCAAAAGTTTCCAGAAATGGAAAAGGACAAAAGCCGACCAGATAGCATACAAAAATTTAAAGGAAAAGGTGACGGCGACACGCTCGGGGGAATACAGCACAACAAGCTGTCTACCCTATCCTCAAAAGGGCAAGGTCTCACTCGGCGGGCGTCGTTGCCTGAGAAGAGTGCGCCGGGATAGTGAGTGCTCCGGGGTATGAAGGCGAAGAAGCTAGGCGTTTTTTGTCTGTCGACCTAGCCTACCAAGTGAGGGCCGGGTATGCGACAGGTATTTTCAAGAGATAAGAGCGACTGAATGAATGACGAGATTATACGTAGATACGTAGGCTGTCAAGACGGGCTGAAAAAGCGAAGTTCAAGATTCACAGAACCAGGGCAAACAAACAAGATCTTCAACTACCAGCCTCATGACGGGGCGAGGCCCCCTCTCCAATCGGAAAAAGGCTGAACGAAATTACGGCCAGGGCCTGATCTCCGCGAAAACCGGTATGACACCCTCTTCGATCAAGAGTGGAAGTAGGTTCGGGCCAAACACCACCTTCTTAACCTAGGAAGTATACCACGCGTTCTTGCATCCGGCGCCTCGGCCTGTAGCTCTCGATTCCAGCCACGCTGAACCAGCTTGAACTCCAGGCGTCTACGAGCTCGGTCAGGACAAAGTCGGGGACTTCTTCAGTATTCTGCTCCGATGGACCTTGAAGTTCTGGGCCCACCTGCCAAGAAGCCGACAAGATACTCGCATGTGCCCCGACTACAGTCCAAACCAGTTGCCAAACTCCTAAAGTGCTGTCGCCGCCAACAACCAGTGGGCAGCCCTGTATCATTCCAACCATGAACAGACCAGGCTTGGTCGCTCCAGCATATCTCCCCTCTGTGAGAGACCGTACAGGACCCTCACGATAGGGGGGAAACCGGTTCCATAGGAAGCTCGCTGCCACTTCAGCGATCTTCGGTTCGAAAAGTTCAGGATGATATCTTGAAAGAGAAACTCCGCTGACCCTAACTGCACCACCTCACCTCGCCTCATTCCCGGGACAAGTTCATGTCACCCGTGCTCAGGCTGACCTTCGAGCCCGACAGCTGTGCAACTCGCCTTCCCCGTGCTAAGCGCCCCGGGGCGTGACGATAGAATCCGCGATGGCCAACCGAAACCCTAAACGATAACGCACTCGCGTCGCCGGATTGGAGCGCTACGGCGCCACCTCCGACTTCGTCCCTACCGTGTTTTTTCCTTAAGTAAAGGTTTTAGATATGACCACATGACAAAAGTTGTTCATTTTTTTTTTTTGCATAACATATTTTTTTCCAGAGTTGTTTGAATTTTTTTATTTTTATTTTTTCATGGCTGCGGGGTCGCGGCGTAGGCCTGTGAAACCGCGTGCTGATTGAGCGCGTGGTTGACAACTTCCTGGGTAGCCCATGTGAACGCCCAACACACACAAATTCAGATCAACGACTACCTGCACGACAACTGAGAAACGCCGTTTATGATCGTAGTACTCCTCGTTGGGGGCATTTGCGGACTTGTAGATGTAGATTTGAGTACAGTCGGTGCACCCATACCAATTTGAACTGCCATTTCGTCAAAGTGGACATCTTTTTTTCTTTGAACAAAATGAAACCAAGTTTTTTGGCCGAAAACTCGTCAAAATTTGTTGTTTCGGAGGGTCCGGCATTTGTAAAATGCTGGACCCCCTGGCTGTACATGGACCTTGCTTGAGACCAACTATGTCCAGGCAGTCCTGCCTGGAGGTGCCTGGTCTCAAGTTAGGTCCATGTGGGGGTCCAGCATTTGTAAAACGTCGGACCCTCAGGAACATCAAATTTTAATGAGTTTTCGGCCAAAAAACTCGGTTTCAATTTCGTTCAAAAAATAAAAAATGTCCATTTTGACGAAATGGTCGTTTTGGGGAATCCTTTGTTAGCGAATGCTGGTAGGATGACCAAATTGCGCACACCCATCGGCCATGACATCTTCTTCCCTTATGCCATCAATAGCACCGCCGTTACATCCCGTATCGCCGCCAGCCTAGAAGCTCTCCCTATACCGAAGTTGCTTGTGCTACTTTTGTATGTCTCCCCGGATGCACACCTGTATAACACATAGGCGACGATATGATCAGGCTGCAGTGGCTCCCTGCAGAACATCACATGCCTCTGCAGATGACGCGACAATGCTTCAGCTATCTCCTAAAGGACACATGGCGACATACGCAGCTTCTCCCAGAAGTACTTCCCCTTCTCGTCGTCACATTGCCTGAGATCCTCCCACGCACCACCCGTCCTCCTTTTCATCCACCACCTTGGCGTTGCTCGTGGAAGAACGCTGCAACCCACGGCGCAGGAAACCTGGAGTACAGCCTCGTTGATGGCCACGGTATCCAGCCCATCGACTGGGGCTCCATGGATTGTCTTCCTCCTCCGCGTGCGGATCTGCGCTCTAATTCTTCCCAGTGCCCTCTCCTGGTGACAACAAAAGAGCACGGCTGTCACGGCTGCTGCAACGGCCTTCTTCTCAGCCGCCCACAAAAACCTAAGGACTACGCCGCCGACGACGTTAACCTCACCGCGGAGTCACCTACGACGTTCGCCGCCTGTCTCCGGCTGAGAGCATACGGCTGTCGGCAGGAGGCGACGATGGCAATCGACCTTCGTGCTGCGGCAAATGAAGACTGTGCACGACGTCCGACGGCGCCACTACGCGGCTGGAATGCCCATTTCCACCATCTGCCAGAAGACTGGCCACCTGCCCCATGTTGCCATCGTCACGTCCACCACCAGATTCAAAATTTGAATTTCGAACGGGGAGGTCCGCTGTGATATTCAGGTTTTTATTTTTTTCGCCGCCAGCGCCCTCCAAAAATTCCCGCCTTTGGCAGCTGGACCACACCACCGCAAGACGGACATCAGCCAATGGGCCAAGGGATGCAATCCAGGGGCTGCCGAATATAATATTATGAAGTTGGCTGCGGTGGGCGAAAATGAATCATCCTCGGGAGGCCACCCCCAGGATTGGTGGAACGACAGAAGGATCCACACCGAGGGGATACGTGGAACGAGGGAAACGAGGGAAGGATTTTACGTTCCTTCGAAACCCCTAAGGAAATTTCATTTGGCCCCGAGGACACTGTACGGAGTGTCTAAAGACCCCCCCCAGAGAGACCGATTGAAGAGGCAGAACTTCCCTAAGCTATTTCGCTCGGGGTCAGGCAATATTAGGGCCAGATCCCACTGGCAAAGAGGATTGGAATAACATTTTGTACACGCCTGGTCAGTCAATTCCTTGGGTGGGCAATCAATGCTGGCAGGCCTCAGTGTTACTTTCGTCAGACAATCTGAGACCTTGTTGTATGTGGGACGCTGGACCCGCTTTCCAGCACGTGATGTGCTCCGCAGCACTAGATAGAGTCTCCCTTGGAGGCAAAAGGAAAAAAAAAAGAAAAACAGAAAAAAGGACGCACGGCCATGACACATCATGATTGGGATGTCTGCCTGTTCCCGAACTTCCCGTTCGTAGCACTCGAACCGCGAGCCGCCGGAGAACGAAGCCAAACTTCGCCTGTGCACTCGTTGCACCAAGAGCAACGATGGCGCTGCATTTTCCCTCTCCTTTGCGACCTCTAGGAAAGAAGCCGCTACTGCTAGATTTGACTTTGACTGTCGTGTCACTCCTCGCCGCGGTCGCCGCTGCTGCTGCTGAAACCGAGTTGCACTCTACGTTCTCAAGTGCCAGCGCACTCAGCAGAGAGAGACGTGGCGACAACTGCACCGCGGGACCACTCGCTCGCTTCCTCCAGAATGATCCAGACCATTCATTACTGTACAGCGTGTTGGTGAAGACATCGGAGCTGTCGGCCATGGATTGCCGCGCTCAGAAGAAGGGGTCGGCGTTCGTTCTCCTGGCTCCTACCAACGATGCTTTCACCCCGGACGTCCTGGAGTGCATGAGGTCGGGGGATGCCGATGCAAAGACGCTGAAGATAAGGAAGCAGTTGGTAGTGGAGACGCTAAGGTATCTTCAGATCGCCAGCCTGCGGGTCCCGGTGACGAATGTCCACGCTCTCCGCAGCAACGCCGATGAACACGGCTCGCTTAAGACCGTGCTGGGGAAGAACGTGACGATCACGACGGCTTTCGACGCTGGGGAGCTGGCGTTGATCGATGAGCAAATGGCCATGATTTCGTCAGACGATTACAAGACCGTCGAGCTCGTCGACGCGGTGCACATCGTCAGTGAGAACGTGTCTGTGGTGCGCATGGGGACCACCACACTAGTGCCACACTCTGTGGCAACGAGAATCAGCAGAGTGTGTACTCCGCAGCTTGGGACGTTCAGCAGGGGCTTCGTTGACTCCCCTCCGCGCCTCCTCTTCAGAAGCCTGCAGCTAGGAGCAGAAGACGCCCAGCCATCGCTGCACCAGCATGGTATCGAAGTCTCTGCGTCCTCATCGTCGCCTACAGGTGCCTCCTCATCGCAGCCGCCGGCGTCACTGCCAGGCATATCTTCGTCATCAACTCTTCCACCGTCTTCTGGAGCTTCCCACGGCGGCAGCGACGGACGTGGGCCGAGCGCTGGCGCTATTGGAGGGGTGGTTCTCGCTTGTTTGGTCGTCCTCCTGGTTGTTATCATAGTCGTGGCCCTTGCTTGTCGCCGCCGCCGCAATGACAGGCCAGTGCCATCAGTGAGAGCAGAGTTAGAGCGGGTATCTCCCGCCGTGAGTAATCGCAATAGCCGGTCAACGAATATAGAAATCCCCGTGACCAGGGATGTCGATGCGCGGAACTGCGGAGCAATCGAACGGTGTGCGGGCACTGCGGCCTAGCAGGACGGCTGGAAGGACCCCCAGGAGTCCCAAGACCAAACAAAGATCATGGACCTGCTGCTCAATGGGCGAGATCCCACTGGCAAAGAGGATTGTAGCGAGTGTCTGAATGTGGACGTGTTTGTGGACAGGTGCAAACAATTGTGATTGATCTACTTTTCTGCACCTCTGCGTGGAACAGGTCCAGATTCAGACACGCTGTAGCCAGACCCTCGTCTGCTGATGGTACAACAAAGCCGACGACCGACGATGCAAGCGGGAAGCCCGCGGGAAAGGGAGGACGACCGGTAGGAAGTAAGACCGACTCGGACTTAAGTAATACACCGTCTGTATTACTTAAGTAAGACCGACTGGGTATTACGGTTTTTCCTAGAAAGGAAGTAAATTTTATTCTTTGTGACCGTCTGTATTACTTAAGTAAGACCGACTGGGTATTACGGTTTTTCCTAGAAAGGAAGTAAATTTTATTCTTTGTGCGCAAAGGAGCAACTACATCATTATATTTTTCTTTGGAAGAATAGGTCAGCCAGGAGGTACGGGCGCTCTGTGGCCCTCCTGCGACACCTGGGACGGCCTTCAGTATTTTCCCGTTTGAATGGCGCTTCGACCAGCGAACAACTGTCAACGACTTTCTTTTTTTTTTTTCTTTTTTTTCTTTTTTTTTTTTCTTTGTTTTTTGTGGGAACTGTCAACGACTGAATCGCGCCCTCGTCGTCCTTAGGCGGGCCCATCTGGCAGCCTCATTCGGAACTCGCACGAATATTGTTTGCTTTTCTTTTTTTCTTTTCTTTCCTAAAAAAGTGGACTCGTTTCTCGATTTATGCTTGTCATCCTTGCGCAGGGCCCATGCTATCTTCCTTCTCTTACTCATTCCAATTGGGACGGATGTCCCAAAGCACCGAATCGAATATTCTTTTGGCATGGAGGTAGTTTGCGGACAGAGATCTTTTTTTTTTTTTCAGGGCTTGTTGTTCGTCACCGAATCTGTTTACTTAAGTCCGAGTCGGACTTTTTGTGATTGGCTATTTACTTCTGCTGCTGCTATCATGTTATGGGGTCGCAGCGTGCTCCCGCCATTCGTCTCTCTTATCTTTTCTTTGTTTTTGAATGAAAGACAACCGCCTTCCCTCACCTCGCCCTCTTCTACCGTCTTCACCCGAACACAATGTACTGACATTAATTACTGTTGTATCTAGACTCAAGGTTGTCCCAAATACAGGTATACTGACGGTACATTGTATTCGGGTGAAGACTGTAGTGTGTGGAGCAGCAGTCCTCCTCACGTCTGCACCTGATTCAGAAGGAGAAATTTGCACTCTCTCACAGAGGCTTTTTCCGCAAGAATGCCTGCGCGGTGCTTCTTGCAGCCTGTGAACAACTGGCAGAACGGATTGATTGGTTACTCCACTCCGTACATTTGTCTAGTATGTCGATTGCTTGTCTATTTCATCAACTGATCGGTTGGATAATGGATACACCACTGGTGGTTTCATTGCATTGGTCTTGATTGAGGATTCGATTGCTTGATTGATTGATTGATTGCTTGATTGATTGATTGATTGATTGATTGATTGATTGAATTGATTGATTGATTGATCGATTGGCTGATCTACTGGTTGGTTGATTGATTGATTGATTGATTGATTGATTGGTTGGTTGCTTGCTTGCTTGATTGATTGATTGATTGGTTGGTTGGTTTATTGATTGATTGATTGGTTGATTGATTTCTTAATTGAAAATGGATACATTGAGCGATCGTGACAGGTCTTGGTTTGTTTCCCTCTTCAGCAATGGAGGGGCCGGACTTAATAATGAAGTTGTCGACTAAAGGATTGACCGACTGATTGTTCTTTTGGGTCTGTAAAAATGATGATCATTGTATATGTACTGAAGTATGGTCTATATATTTTCATCGGTACAGTCAATCCAGAAAGAGAAAGGAGTGGATTTCTTGACTGTATTGTCTCATTTTATTACAAAGTTCGTCGATCGATATATCGATGGCCCAGATGGATGTGTGGTAAAAATGGATTCAATGGAGTTCCGTCTGTTGCGGTCGCTGGTTTTCAAAAAAAAGAAAAAAAAGATGGCCAGCTTAGCTGAGTAGCCCAACGGGGGTTGACGGGTATTTGGTTGCACTCCCCGGCCGGGGGAAGAAAGAGCCCTCAAACTACGTTGTTTGGGGTTCCTTCATTTCAAGCCTATGAGAGCTATAATTATAGCATTGGATTACGTGGCAGCTCGTGTGAAGATCGCGATACCACCTCCCTTTCCGATCCAGAGAGAGAAAAAAAAATAAAAAAAATGAAAGAGACGATGCTGTACTGCTAGTCAGCTTTGACAGCACGCACGCACGTTCCAATGGCAGATGTCTCAAGCCCAACGGTGCCATGCTTACTGTCTTTCTGCCAGTTTCTGCGTTTTTTTGGGTCTCTCTCTCTCTCTCTCTCTCTCTCTCTCTCTCTCTCTCTCTATATATATATCTCTCTCTATATATCTATATATATATACGTGTCCAAGTGCAGGGGCGGACTGGGGGGATACTTGCTACGAATCAGCCTAGGATACGTCTGCAAACCGGTATGTGTGCAATTCGCCCATTCTTTCTTTCTTTTTTTCTTTCTTTCTTTCTTTCTTTTTTTTTTTTTTTTTTTAATTTGGACCATTTCTCGATTTGTGCGTGTCATCCTTGAAAGCGTAGGGGCCATGCTAATCTTCTTTCTCTGTATCGTTCCAATTTTAACGGATGTCCCGAAGGACCCGACGCCCTTTCTGGGAAGAGCAAGAAGGGGAAGAGCGGTGGATGGGAAAACGACATAGTACACTCACTGCTCCGTGAGCATTGTAATGTAATTATTATTGTACCGCTTTCGATTTCACACTGGTTCACATCTGATGAGAATATGATATTATCAAGAAACGGCCGCACGATTCATCATAATGGTCAATCCATCTTCTGAAAAGGGTTTGACCATCGTGGGTGCCCGCCGGTGTGAGCAGATTTTGGCGCGAAAGCGGCTGCACACGAGGCTTACCGGTGCTAAGGAATCGACTGAGTTATGTATTGAATATAAGTTAAAAAAAAAAAAAAAAAGTTAACATGTGGCACTCACGGATTGCACGGCGGCAGAGTGTGCCCCTACTGCCACACAAACCTGTTTTTGTTTTTGAGAAAACTACGGTACGGCGGGAGTCCGGGTTTGAGTTTGGAAAAAAGAAAAAAGTAAAAAGAAAAAAAAAGAAAAAAAAAAGATTGATCCTTTTTCAAAAAAAAAAAGAAGGGGGGTAAGTACGTTTATGTCACATGAGAGTTCCTAATGGGCAGAAAAAACAGGCATAGGCGTCTGTGTCAGGGCCTGAGTTTCAAAAGGCATTCGTGGGAGGCGGGCGAGGGGATCGGGCCAATGAGAGTTAGCCCTAAGCAGCGTTAGCGCTGCGCTGAGCAGCGTTAACGCTGCACACAGTGGTCGAGTAGGGCAGGGCGCCGAGCAGGGACACGCTTATTGGACATCGCCACGCCCACCCTGCCAGGTCCTGGGGCTATCGTAGTTTCCACCTCCTCCTTGAGTGGGGGAGGGAGTGCCTTTGCACCTCCTCCTTGAGTGGGGGAGGGAGTGCCTTTGCTCTTGCAGCTATGATATCCTGGCAGCCCTACAGCGGCATACCGTACCTATTACACCAAGTACACCAATTCGAGGAAACGAACAGCTACACAGTAGAAACACAAGGGTGGCAGCAGCGTCATCGGAAGCAGTGGGAAGCAGTGGGAGGGCTTGCGATGGTGGTGGGAGTAGTGTTGTCGACATTGCTGAGGAGACAACGTGAGGCACTCTACATTTGGCCGTGCTGGTGTTTCCATACCCTACGTCTGCTCAGTAGACTCTCCAAGGCGGATCCATAGACTACTTGAAGGTTGGCAGCAGCGTCAGGGGAAGCAGTGGGAGAGCTCGCTATGGCGGTGGGACTCCATGGGAGTGCTGCTCACACAGCCAAGGAGACAACGAGCTTTGTGATATGCCTGGGTCTGTTTGGTATATTAGATTCTTGCTCTGATATAGGTATGCTGAAGACGCTCATTTACTTGCATGTAGTCACTGTTTTGGACTAGATTCCTTGAGGTGCAGACTGCTTTCCGGCTGTCCACTTCGTCTCCTCCACTTGGTCTTCAATACCTCACGCCAAATTCATCTATTCCCTCTCGTCGTCCTTTTGTCCACCTTTCAAAACGGGAATATGATTGGAGTTAGGTTTAGAAATTGACTATGCTGTTTTGGGGAAAATCTGTGGTTGCTGTTGCGATCCTTTCTGAAGTTCATTGATTGAGATACCGAACAATGACATTGTATTCAATTGACCTTTGGGATAGCTCAGATTACTGCCTATGATTTTTTTCTGGTTCAAGTTGTTCAGATCAATGGTCGACGCATCATAGATGGTTGAAATTGTTGGCCAGAATGGCTCTATTGAATTTGTAGGCCAGAGTGGACTTATATTTCGACGTTACGAAATTACAGCTCTTCGTTTTGGCCGCAAACAAAGACTAGATTCTTCCCTCCTAACTTGGCTGATACCCTTGTGTAGCCGTACAAATAGACTAGATTCATTTCTTCTCCGCACCTTGTCTCCTGTGCTCTCCTTTAATTGATTTCTTGGCCTGTGCTGCTCTGACTTGGGATAGATTCGTTGAATCCTCACCTTGTTGCATCTCTCTTCCTGCATATAGTGACATCACGAGATATTTTAATTTTAATTCGTCTGCCGTTTACTTCGCCCTGTCTGGGGACAGACTTTAGGGCGCATTCATGATTGTGGGAAATTTGGTCCTGAGGCCGATTAGACTTTTAGGGTGCATTCACTATTGTGGGATATTCGCGGGTCTGCTTTTCTTTTATGATTTTTTGTTTCTCTTCTCATCTCATATCCTCTAAAATCCAGAGCTCTTTTCGTTTCGAACTCACACCCTTGTTAAACCACCAGTACTTCCTGAAAACGCTCCCGCGGAGCTAAATTTGGAATGACCGGGCCTGGGCCGGTAGGCCCGATTCAGCCAAGTGGAAA